GTGTGTGTGTGTGTGTGTGTGTGTGTGTGTGGTGTGTAGTGTGTGTGTGTGTGTGTGTGTGTGTGTGTGTGTGTGTGTGTGTGTGTGTGTGTGTGTGTGTGTGTGTGTGTGTGTGTGTGTGTGTGTGTGTGTGTGTGTGTGTGTGTGATTGCGTGCGTGCTCTCTCTCTCTCTCTCTCTCTCTCTCTCTCTCTCACACACACACACACACACACACACACACACACACACACCCGCACACATATACACATATACACATAAACACATATGCATACATACATGCATGCATGTGCATGCAAGCACGCACGCACGAGAGAGAGGTGTGCGTGTTTGTGTTGTGTGTGTGACAGAGAGAGAGAACCAGATAGATTAGGCATGCTCAGCGAAAAGCCGTTGGACCAATGTTGGCAATCTGACGTTGTGCGTTATACGATTGTGCGTTGGACGATGGATTATCGTTCCAGATTCTCGATCATCCCGTTCTCTAACTTTGCTTACGTCTACAGTCCCCCTTCATCCCATCCCTTGATCTCAACAACCCAAAGTTTGATGTTGAAACAAATTATAACACGAATTTTACACGATACTGTCACACTATTTGGAATTTCTATGTTCCCGATTCGGGTCGGATTTCGGATCGGATTTAGCGACACACATCGGATTCGGATTCGGATTCAAAAATTGCCATATAATTCGGATTCGGATCAGATTCAAAATAGCTATCAGATTCTGATTCTGATTTTGAAAAAAAATGTGTTGTCGGATCGGATTTTTGGTTCATGTCGGATCCGACGCACAGCACCAATGCAAACCATGGGGACTGATGGTGCTAATCACCGGCTTACCCGGCACTCGTCAGGATGCGGGCAACATTGCTGCGCGAAAAGCATTTGAGACTCAGTGGCATTATCGAAACGGTAGATTTCATGCAAATGAGGTCGAAGCACCATAGCCAATGGCCAGGAAGTTTTTGCAATTGCCAGACGGCAAAACCCCCATCTATTATGGCTGGAGTTTGCCAGGGGCAATATCATTGCTGATGGACGAGGTCCCAGATGTTGGCATTGAGAATAATCCAGATATGCCATGAAAGCAGTTGCTCTGGTATGTTATACGTCCCTGTATTCCTTTCATTTGTGTTCATTTAGCCAGTTTATTATATATCAGGGATTAAAGAAAATACAGACAACATTATACCTGCGTTTGTTGTTCAACCTGTATGTGCTTGTATTAGACTATGTCACCATGATTAGTTATAAGGTAGATGCAATATCGGACGGCTGGTTAGAACGATCTGAGCTCGGAGACATACACAAACAAGGCAGAAAACTACTGGCGCCAGGTATCTGGGGAAAAGTGCCATTGCCAAGAATACTATACTTAATATGAGCTCCGCGTAAAATCGGTCCACACAGGAAGTATCACCACCATCCAGACTTGCGATTGTGTTTAGTAATCCTGCAATTTCTCTCTATGTCAAGTGTGTGCTAGTGTTGTGTACCGGTGACAAGTAGCACATGCATCAAACACATCTGCTATAGCTATTACAGGCTGTATTACTATATACCCTACTCCATTATTTATAATATCTACAATATTATGCGTAATTATGACTGGCATTGCTATCTATTGCATGAAGAATAAACAGGAGCAGTTGATTACAGTCAGCTGCTGGGTAGATACCCTTATAGTCCATTTTAAATTGTACAGACATCTTAACCACAGACAGCATCGCTGTTGTAAGGGTTGATGAGGAACTCACACCTTACTGCTTATGCTGCGGGCGAAATTGGAGACAATTGTGATCAAAAGTGTGTATCTCCTTATAGAGAGGAATCAGATTCAGAAATAGTTCCAAATATTGACCTAAATCAGAAATCTGCTGTGACACTCCAAGTTTCAAGCAACACCAAGAACAAAAGGAAGTGGGATAAAAGAAATATTTGTATATACTGCGAGAAGGCATATGCAAAACTTGCACGCCACTTTGAACTGAAACACAAGGAAGAAAGTGATGTTGCAAATTATCCGAGCTATCCACTAAATTTAACTGAAAGAAAACATTTGATGGAGAAACTGTCAAACAAGGGACACACAATTCATTTATATTTCACATGATTACACATTTTCACACAACCTCAAAGTATTGGAAGAGAAAAAAGGCCAATTAATTCCGAAAAACGTTATCGTTCATGTGACGGGGTGACCAACACCGATTATTCATGCTGCGAACATTGCCTTGGATTTTTTGTCAGGTCAGACCTTTGGAAGTATCAGAAAAAATGTAGCTTCAACAACAAATCAAATGGATCAAAGGACAAAAATATAAAAGCAAGAGGTGCATTATTGCTTCCTTCTGAGGCAGGGAAACATGAAGCACTAGCAGACATTCTAAAGAGGATAAGTGATGATAGGATATCACTTGCCGTGAGAAATGACCGTTTAATTCTGAAATATGGGGAAAGGCTGGGAAAATTGTGAAAAGAACAGCACAACAGACATTTTATTAGTCAGAAGATGAGAGCTGGCACGACTTGTGATAAAATTGAGAGAACTGGATACAGGTATTGAGACATTGAGTGATGCAATTATGCGTACACAATTTCCAAACGTCGTGTCTGCTGTCAAAATGGTTGCAAGATATGACAAAGAGCATGATCTGTACAATATACCGTCATTAGCACTCAAGCTTGATGCTGCTTTGAAGAAATGTGCAAAAGTCCTTAGTGCACATAGTCTTATAGAGGAAAACGAATCCATAATTAATAATTTGGATAAGTTTTGCAAATTATGTGAAATGGAATGGAATGATAAAGTATCTTCACAAGCACTAAAGACCCTACGGGATGCCACTAGCTGATGCCACTCGTGGAAGACGTTGTGTTACTGCAAGCCTATTTGCAACAAGAAGTGGCAGATATCCAGGACAAGATAAATGAAGGCACGTCTCCAGTTGGTACGAACTAGCAAAGTGAAAACTAAACTAACTTTTTAATAGGAGAAGAAGTCGGGAAGCTTCCAGGATCAAACTAAAGAACTGAGAAAACATGAAGAATGATGAGTCCGAAAGATGCGGACATCATTCATCAATGCCCTCTCCTCGTTAGAACAAAAACTATGCAAATCATTGCATCGCAATGAGATTCGAGGCAAGAGGGGGAGTAAGGCACCAGATCTACTCACAGAGAATATGCATGATGCAGTTAAATGTCTCTTGAAATATAGGAATCAGGTAGACATAGTAGTAAATTCATAGTGAAATTGGCTCGCGTGTCGGGGCAAATTCACTGTCTCGCATGGAGAATACGATAAATACACTATCGCATGAATAATACGAGTGGGGTTTTTGATATTTTTTAAAAATTATGCAAATTAGGTAGATTTTCAACATAGATTCAACAGCGTGCTGGGGACGACAGTGGTGGACTATCTATACTGTTATTATTCATACGAGACAGTGTATTTATCGTATTCTCCATGCGAGGCAGTGAATTTGCCCTGGCACGCAACAACATACATTCAACAGCGTGCTGGGGACAACAGTGGTGGACTATCTACTCGTATTATTCATGCGAGACAGTGTATTTCTCGTATTCTCCATGCAAGACAGTTTATTTGCCCCGGCACGCGACAACATAGATTCTACAGCGTGCTGGGGAGGACAGTGGTGGACTATCCACTCGTATTATTCATGCGAGACAGTGTATTTCTCGTATTCTCCATGCGAGACAGTGTATTTGCTCCGGCATGCGACTTCAATGCCTTCTGCTTTCTGCCAACTGCTTTTCGCTGCAATGCTTTTCTCTTACCACCTTTTTCCACGAGGCCAGTGCTTGCTGTGCATGAGGACAAAGTCATCCTCACTCAAACAGCGTTTCTGTAATGCTATGTCGCCATCTGTTGAAGAGGAAGACCTATCACTTTGCACAGCTACCTGTCTCCACAGGATTGGAATCATTCTGACAAATTTGTCGTGTTCTCAACACTACTTGCCACTTCTGTTACAGGCGATGATACATCCTCGCTCTCCTTATGATGACTAATCGAAGACTTCTGAATCCATCTTTGTCGATGCACCCTTTGAGACTATGTAGTGACTTATCTACTTGTATTTGACCCAGTGCGCCACCACATAGATTCTATAGTGTGCTGGGGACACAGCGGTGGACTTATCTACTTGTATTTGCCCCAGTGCGCCACTACATAGATTCTACAGTGTGCTGGGGACACAGCGGTGGACTTATCTACTTGTATTTGCCGCAGCGCACCACTACATAGATTCTACAGTGTGCTGGAGATACAGCGATGGACTTATCTACTATATACTCTACACCATTATTTATAGTATCTACAATATTATGCGTAATTATGGCAGGCATTGCTATCTATTGCATGAAGAATGAACAGGAGCATTTGATTAGTCAGCTGCTGGGTAGATACCTTTATAGTCCATTTTAAATTGTACGGACATCTTAACCACAGACAGCATCGCAGTTGTAAAGGCTGATGAAGAACTAACACCTTACTGCTTATGCTGCAGGTGAAATTGGAGATAATTCTGATCAAAAGTGTGTATCTCCTTCTAGAGAGGAATCAGATTCAGAAATAGATCCAAATATTGCCATAAATCATAAATCTGCTTCAATATATGTATATTATATATAATATATGTCAATATATTTTTAGGTTAGCATTAGGCTTACCATGTTAAAAAGATTATATTTATTTATTCTATTTCATTGTGATATGTTTCAGGAATATCTTTGCATATTTTTCATTAGAAAACATTTTCATTTATTAATTTTCAGATGATTTAACATTTTGATTAGTCTCAAGAATGAATATTACTTTCAATAGAGAAAATTTCAATTAACCAGACTGCTTTTACTATTTTTAGAAAAGCACAGACAAGGTGGCTTTGATCTGGGTTGGTGTAAAAAAAATACCCATGGCTACTATGCCTGGCTGGTGGCATGGTCTGTACCCTCTGCAGAAAACATGTCCATGGAGATGCAAGAAATGCTACGTTTATTGACAACCCGTCAACAAATTACAGCGAAGATGTTATGGTCAGGCATGCGATGTCAGAAACTCACAACACGTTGTGAAAAAGAACTTGAACTACACGCAGGTAATTAACCCATTACAAATGTGTAAATATATTGTAAACTGACATGGTTGGACTAAATTGACAAACCGTACACCATATAAGCTTGCACCCAGACTAACTGACAAACACATCTCGCCCTTTTCGCCCACGAGGGTAAGAAACGACATATGTACCTCATTATTTAATGTTCTTTCAAACAGCGTAATTGGTCATTTGTTTATAAATTTAAATTTACTTTCTCACAGATCAGTCTTGTAGCACAGGTTTGCTCAGGTTTATTGTGTAAAACTGCAAGCCATCCGGATAAATATTAGTAATCGTGTATAATGCAGTAACTATGATGAAAAAATGGCATGATCACAACAATACGTGGTCTTGTAAGATGCTAGCATCGTGACTCATTGAAACATAAAAAACGAGGACCATCGCCACGTGTAAATGTGTTTTATTTTTATACACAATTGGGAGACAGGTGGTATTTCTTCCATGTTTATCATGAAAAATACAGGTTTTAGTAGTCAGTATCCAATATTATATCAATATATTTTTGTGTAATTTCATCCTTTTCATCATTGTTTGAGAGTTAAATAAGAATATGTGTCGTACACTCGGAAAATCTGGTGAAGAAGACGACAAAGTGAAAAAGAAAAGATATCTTGGGCTACTTCAGAAAAGTCCATTTAAATGGTTATTAAGTCTGTGGAACAGAGCCATAGCTTCAGGCTTCAAGCCGTCATGCATGCGCACGTGGTGCAGAATAATCCTATCACAAACAAATTACAAAGTATTTAAACAGGGCAATGACAAAAGCAGAGGTGCAGATGCAGTAGAAGCTGCAATTGTTGAGCCCCTCCCATGGATTTTAGGGAACAGGGGAACAGGAGCATTAACCTTCAGGGAACATGGGAACTGTTGATTAGATTGTTGTGAACAAGAGAACTCTGATCTTGACTGTTGCTATTTCTTTTCACAGTTTTCTGAGACTGTTTACAATCAACTTTGAAGTATTTCAGGGTCATTTCAACATAGCGTGCCGTAGGGACCATTAGGGTCTACAATTATAGGTCCTTTTTTCACTCCCGCGTCACGAGACAATTATGCATTCTATAATTAAAATTATAAGAAAAAGCGATTCTATGTTATTTCGAAATAGGGTTTATAATATAAGTTCGTAAATTGCACGTGTGGGTAAGGAAATGCGAGAAATTTTGCAATTCTGGACGGATAGCAGCTTTAAGCATATACAGCATAGGCCTAATGCGCATTATTTTCAGCAAGCCGTCGTCCTGCCTCCCGCGGGCTCGCCGCCACTACCGGCAGCATTGCCGTCGCCGCCGCGCATATTATTTAGAGGAAGATCTAAACGAGGAGGAGGAGGAAGAGGAGGATGAAGAGGTAACAATTGGTGATTTACCACTAGACTGACTGTACATTTACCACTAGAGTACTTGGTCATTTACCACTAGACTGACTGACCATTCACCACTAGACGACTTGGTCATTTTCTTTTCAGGAGACCAACGTCCTCCTGTCCCCTGCCAAGTCCACTGCCGAGTCCCCTCCCGAGTCCCCTGCATGGTAGGAAGATCTAAATGAGGAGGAAGAGGATGATGTGGTAATAATTGGTGATTTACCACTAGACTGACTGACCATTTAACACTAGAGTACTTGGTCATTTACCACTAGACGGACTAGACAACTTGGTCGTTTACCACTGGACCGACTGACCATATACCACTAGACAACTTGGTCGTTTACCAATGGACCCACTGACCATATACCACTAGACAACTTGGTCGTTTACCACTAGACTGACTGACCATTTACCACTAGAGTACTTGGTCATTTACCACTAGACTGACTAAACATTAACCAGTAGACTACTTGGTGATTTACCACTGGACTGTCTGACCATTTACCACTAGACTCAGTGCACCAGATAGCTTGCGTATTTGCGTGAATACGCATGAATTTCATACAAATACGCATGTAATTTTCAAAGGTATGCGTATAGATACGCTTGTGTTTTAATAAATACGTACATGAGAAAACAAACAGATCGTATCAGTACGCTAACCTTCCATCTACTCCCGTATCGGCTCGACTCTCTCGCTAATAGACTGGTAGCTTGGTCGCGGTGCCGCACTCATTAAGTTCGCTATGGCTGCTGTGTGTCAGTACGTGAACCAGTCTATCTACTATCTATCGTGACTGGTTCCTGTGTGTAGTTTATTTTACAAAGCTCTGAAGTTAGAATTGGTGTTGCGACTGGAACGCAGTCTATACTCCGGCCTTCCCGGAATTAATTCCAAATAAGGAAAGTCGAACGTGTGTGATCTAAGCTTGTTGACTATTGGTCCATTATATTTGATTAGCCAATAAAAACGCGGTAATAAAAACGCACGTTGCCGTCGTCTGCAGAAACAAACATGAAGTCTACATGTCGCGCTGCCGAACAGTGTCAGAGCATTTTAAAATATATGAATCCTACAAGACCAAGGAATGTTTCGTCAGTGGAAGATATAGTTTCACCTATAATCTCGCTAGTTGTTGAAAACTATTCTGGTCGATACTCATACTAAGAAAATATGATGAGTACTGCCAACAAGGAGTACTCATAGGGATCTTGCCGATACTCATACATAAAAAAATGATGAGTAAATACTCATCAACGCCAAAAATTATCTGGAGCACTGTAGACTACTTGGGCGTTTGCCACTAGACTACTTCGCCATTTTCTTTTCAGGAGCCCAACCCTGGCACCAGCACGGGGGGACCCCTGCCAACTGCCAGGAGGAAGATAAACGGCTGACACTTCTGATGCGGGCGGCCTTTAGTAGACCCCCAGAAAGAAAGGGCCTTCGTCGTGAGGGGAAGGGTTACACCACGAAGATGGATACAAAATTGACCTGGGGTGGGCTCATCAGAAAATATCAAAAGTCATTAAAGGTTGAATGTTGTAATATATTGTTCAAGTCTGCCTCATCCGCAAGACTACACATATGTAAAAATCACATGCTACCTGATCGCAGCATTCGAGCGAACTCCAAGTTCGTATATGTACAACGGTGATACAAAGTAGATAATTATACATACGGTAGGTATGACATGCCAACGTACCGCTCTACCATTTCCGTGACGTCACGTCACGACAGTCGTGCCAATTTATAAATAACCTTTTTTTAATTTTTTTAATTTTATAAAAAAAATCTTTTTAATTTTAACTTTTAACAGTTAAAACTATCGTTTTTTGGCAAAAGGCAGTTAGTTGACGAGGTCCGGGCCGATCTCGCGTGAAATCTCGTGTGAAATCTCGAATGGTAAATATAATAGAACAGCTGTATCCAAAGCGATCTCACGTGCAGAAGTGTGAAGCATGGGACCAGGAACGATGGAACCAGGGACGAACATGGTGTGACTTAGCTTCAAATGATTTATATATTATATTTGCCAAGGAGTCATGTCGTTGTCGTCACGCCAAGGAGTCTCGTCGTCGTCTTCACGCCAGAGGAGTCGCGTCGTCATCGTCACGCCAAGGAGTCTCATCGTCGTCTTCATGCCAGAGGAGTCATGTCGTCGTCGTCACGCCAGAGGAGTCGCGTCGTCATCGTCACGCCAAGGAGTCTCATCGTCGTATTCATGCCAGAGGAGTCGCGTCGTCGTCTTCACGCCAGAGGAGTCGCGTCGTCATCGTCACGCCAAGGAGTCTAATCGTCGTCTTAATGCCAGAGGAGTCGCGTCGTCGTCTTCACGCCAAGGAGTCGCGTCGTCGTATTGTATCAGTCACGCAAGGAGTTGCATTTTCGTCGGTCTGCATGCAGAGGAGTATGTCGTCGTCGTCACGCCAGAGGAG